AGTCGAACGATGCAAGAAAATCTTGAACTTCCTTAAGCGAAAAAATCCGGTAATCCTGTTCACCGACTAGAGCATGTTTACCGTCGATCCCGTGACAAATTCCAGAACCGACTGGTATATTAGTTCTCTTCCGGTAAAAGACGTGGCCGACGAGCACAAGAACGTGTATCTGACCAAGTATCCTGCTAGCGTTATGGTGTTTGGATTGGTGGCTTCCGATGGCAAAAAAATGGACCCGGTGTTCATTCCAGAAGGCCACAAGGTAAACACGGAGGTCTACATCGGGATTTTAAGTAAGTATGTTCTTCCCTGAATCAAAGAACAGTACGGTCCGAAGCCAAATGTTGTATTTCAAAAAGATGGGGCTCCGTGCTACACCTCGAACCGCACTCAGAAGTGGTTGCAGGAACATCTTCCGTTCTGGGCGAAGGATATGTGGCCACCATCCAGCCACGATCTTAATCCGCTGGATTACTCAATATGGCGTGCCAAGGCCTGCGCCACCCGAGTACAGCAAGCCTCAGACAAACATTGACCCGTACCTGGAGAGAAATGGATCCTAAACAAATTATTAGGACCTGCGAAGCGTGTGGAGGCCAAACTCGAAAACGAAATTTTTTTAATTTTTTTAATTTTGGCATTGCTCAATAGTTCAAACATTATAACGCATACGGTACAACTTTGTCTCGGACGTCATTTCGATAAGAAATGCCGTTACCGTGATACATATATATATTTTCTTTTAAATTTTGAAACGTCGTTTTGAAAATTTAGCAACTTCCTAAATGGTCAAAATTATGCAATAATGTGAATCATTACCCATAAAAAGCACTTGTGCAAAGTTTCATTCAAATCGGAGTAGGTTGAGTTTTGCCGATTTGTCATTTGCATGGAATTGCTTTTAACAATTAGGTCCAGCCTGGTAATAATGCAAAGAGATGAGGTCGTAACAAGCTCTATTCTAGTACAATCAGAGATGCCGTGTATTCAAACATTAAGACTTTTGGAATTGTGTGAAGACATTTCTCGCAACTTCAGACAAGTTGTACTTTTTACTAAGCTCTCTAAATTATAACAAGATTTCAGATCATCTATGAACTTCTTCAGAGATACGAGAAATTCTCCAACCTTTTCTCTGAATATTCCTTAACATCTGGGCAGTTCCCTGAAATCAAACGGAATTCCATAAACTTTCACGTAGCTCAGAATGCTAGTTTGAAGAAAGATGTCTGAAAAACTGATACTCTGAAGATCTAAGAAAATTTCTGAACTATTCCTAGAATTTCTTAGATTCTATCAAGTTTATTGAACTTCTGATCAGCTTGACGAACTCTACGAAGTTAGATGATCGTTTAATAAATTCCCTGCTCTTTTATGATGTTTTATGAAGATTCTCGAACAGCTACGTAGTTCGCTGCATTACTACAAAGTTAACTGTTCTTCTACGAGATGTGATGATTTTTACGAGACTTCTTTTAAGGTTCCTGAATGTCTACGAAGTTCTCTCAAGCTCTACCGAATGAAGTGCCTTAAATGAAAAAAAAAATATATATCTCAACATTTTTTAGGTTTCGTGAAACTAAGCCATGTTCCCTGAACTTCCATGATGTCTCCCAGACTTGTACAAAGATTACACTTCTTCACAGTTTGGTTTTCTTTATTCTTTCGAGACTTTCAGCCATGGGGATTTTTTTCTGTAAAGTTCCCTGAATTTTTACGAAGTTCTCTGAAGTTCAACGAAGTTTTCCGAATATACCAAGTTTTTTAAATTTATTTTTTGTTTCCTGAACTTCTACGATGTCCTGAAAGTTTTGTTAAGTTCCCTGAAGTTAAATAAAAATCCCTGATATGCAACGAATTTCCATGATTTGTTTTGCAAAATTCACAAAATTCCTCTAAAGTTCCCTATTTGATAAAGCTCTACAGAGATCACTGAACTTTTTCGAAATTCACTGAATTTCTATAAAAATCTCAGCACTCTTACGCTGAGTTTCTACAAATTTAGCTCAATTTCTATAAAGTTTACTGAAAGTATACAAAGGTTTCTTAATTTACATAAAGTTCAATAAACTTCTACGAGGATTGCTGAACTTCTTTAGAATCTACTGCACTTTAGGAATCTTTCAGAATTTACTTCAAGTTCCGTAATGATCTACGAAGTTTCTTGAAGTTCGAAAACGTTCCCTGAACTTTTACGACGTTCCCAGAACTACTGTTAAGTTCTCTAAAATAAAACGGTGATTCCTTAACTTCTTCGATTCCGTTGACTTCTAAGAACTTCCCTGAACTTCTGTAAAGAGTCAGTTTTATAAATCTGAAATATTGAACAGCCTCATCCACTCGCAAATTTAGGGGGAAGTAGCGTTGAAGATGTGTGAGGGCATTTCGTCAATCCCTCTGTGGTTTTTTTTTTAAATGCACCTCGTCGATATCCGCAGCACAAACGAACATGTTTTCCTCAAAGTTCAACGTCATCGCTTTTCCGTCTTTGTTGTACTTTGTGTGCATAAACCGTGGGTACTCGCATTCAGTTCAGTACGCCTGTACGCAAATAGAAATGGAGCTCTTGTGTCTGTCACGGGATTTTTTGCTGCAATATTGGCACTATTTCGATAAATTTTCGGCGACACAATAAAAACGACTGCTTCACCTTAATTATGGGCTATTCAGCCAAATTTTTACGATTCAGTTTTTACACTGTAAAGGGTGATACGGTCAAAATTTGGTCAAGGGAAAACGCGTGTAAATCGGTGAAATCGTTTATTTAAAAAATCAAATTAAATTTCTTTTTCAAGTTCAATAAGTATAAAATTCAGGAAAAATATTCAGTTAGGCTTCCGCTTTTCCAAATCCGAATTGCCGGGCCTTACGCTTGACCCCTGCTATCAGATTTTGTACAGCCACCTTGTCCACCTTCTTCGCCGCAGAAAGCCAGTTTGCCTTGAACTGCTGCTCGCCCTTAGCAGTTTTTTTGATCTTCTTTAGGTTCCGCTTGACAATAGCCCAGTATATCTCAATTGGGCGGAGCTCTGGCGTGTTGGGAGGGTTCTTGTCCTTGGGAACCACCTGCACGTTGTTGGCGGCGTACCACTCCATGGCCTTTTTACCGTAATGGCAAGATGCCAAATCCGGCCAAAACAGTGCGGAACAACCGTGTTTCTTCAGGAAAGGCAGCAGACGTTTATTCAAACACTCTTTCACGTAAATTTCTTGGTTGACAGTCCCGGAAGCTATGAAAATGCTGCTTTTCAAGCCACAGGTACAGATGGCTTGCCAAACCAGATATTTCTTTGCGAACTTTGACAGTTTCATGTGCTTGAAAACATCTGCTACCTTTCCCCTTCCTTTTGCCGTATAAAACTCCTGTCCCGGAAGCTGCTTGTAGTCGGCTTTGACGTAGGTTTCGTCGTCCATTACCACGCAGTCAAACTTCGTCAGCATCGTCGTGTACAGCCTCCGGGATCGCGCTTTGGCCGTCGTATTTTGTTTATCATCGTGATTTGGAGTCACCACCTTCTTGTAAGTCGATAGTCCGGCTCGTTTTTTGGCTCGATGCACGGTTGTAGACGATACACCCAGCTTATTTGCGGCATCTCGGAGAGAGAGGTTAGGGTTTCGCTTGAAACTACCGGCAACTCTCTTTGTCGTCTCAGCGGCTTCCGGTTTTCGATTTCCCCCCGATCCAGACTTCCTGGCTGTCGACAAACGTTCCCCAAACACTTTAATTACATTTGTAACGGTTGATTTGGCAACTTTTAGCAATTTTGCCAACTTTGCGTGCGAGTAGCTCGGATTTTCGCGATGCGCGAGCAAAATTTTGATACGCTGCTCTTCTTGCTTGGACGGCATTTTGACAACTGAAGAGTGAATTTCAAAATCAAAATAGGAGCAACATTCTACACACACACACCTTCAAAATGAGGGGTGTTCAGGTTTTTTAAATGCAAAATTGAAAGAAATACGTCAAGTTGATATTGACCAAATTTTGACCGTATCACCCTTTAAATAAAACTTGACACAAATGGCTAAATAGTTCTAAATAGCTAATAGTTTGTTTTTGCTATGCTATTACCCACTGATTTTTTGAGTCAATTTTGAAAGGGAGGGGATGGAGAAAAAACTTCAAAATAAATTTGCAACTGCTTTATATAATAAAAACTTTTCAAACTGTGATTTGAGATTTTTTATTTAATCTTTAAAAAAGGAGGGGAGTGAGTCAGAAAGTGTTCCGTAATTTGAAGAGTGGGATTCTTGTAAAGCGTTGCTAATTGCTGCATAGGGGGAGGAGGAGGTATTCCAAAATCCGTAATTGCGTAATTTGTGCACCGCATCTAAGGTCATTTGAGCAATTATTATGTCATTCACGATAGGGGCGATCCATTTAGTACGTCATGCCCTAAGTGGGGAGGGGTGGGTCTATGACAAGCAATGCATTATGGTTATGAAACACGAGGCGAAAGGCGGAGAGGGGCCTAAATTTCCCAGAATTCCATGTGGGATTCTCGCATATATGTTATCAAGGGTGGTGATGGTGACTTTATGAATCTTCTCCACAGAGGGTGCAATCAGCAAAAGTTTGATAACCGCTGTTGTAGATGACTTCTATAACATTTTCAACCTATTTTCGTGAAGCTTTTGATCGAAGTTAACAGCCAGAATTGAAGCATGTTGTCACAAATTTACTCTACTCTACCACACTTCATTTCGACATACCCTCCTTAAATGGTTCTATGTAGAATTACATTTTACATGTCGTTCGTAATTTAACTCGTGAAAGGTTGATCCAAATATTTTGGATGAAGCTGTTTATATGTGCGGGACTGGGAATGGTCTACATATGACAAAGTAGTGCGAAACTCAATTCAGCTAACAAAAAAGTACCAGAATATCTGTTCCATAAGATACACTGGGAGATGATTATCCTCAAATATTCGCCTTTGTAATAATCCGTAATATACACACAAGGCACGTTCAAATCATTTATAAAAATTAGAACTTACAGTTAACAGACAGCGTGACGATCGTCTCCAGGCGGTGTCCTTCCGGCATGGCTCGATTCCACACCACACACCGGTACTTGGCCCCGTCATCTTCCCGTCGGGGCAGTACCGAGAGTGTACTCGTCGTTTGTAGATCCTTCGAGCCACCCTTGTTGATTGGTGCCTGCAGTGGGTTATTGGATCCCACTCGGTACCATCTATCAGAACGAAAGTCATAAGTTAGCATCACTCTGCGGTGATCCACCCACACATGCATTAGGCAGATACTTACGTTATCGTCGGATCCGGAGAGCCCCCTATACTGCTACAGGTCAGATCCAGCTTCTTGTCTTCGGTGGCAACGGCTATCGTTCCGGGTGCCACCAGTGGTGGCTGTGGTGGTGTTAGAACCGTGAGATTGTAGTACTCTTGATGGACATCAGCCCCAGTGCCGCTGGCCTTGATTCGGCACTCGAAGCGCCCATTGTCACGGGTGTACGAGGTGTTGGTGATGTGCAAATCGTAGACACCCTTCTCAGGCCGAAAGTCGATTCTGAAAAAAACGAGAAAAGAAGAAGCATGTATTCGGGGTTTTGCGGTTGGGCGAATTTTTCCCTCGCGGCTGACTGGGTGTGGGAATCAAATGGGAAGAAGTTCGGATGGCAGAGCACAATCTTGCAAGAAGGTTAGTTGGTAGTTTGTTATGATTTACGGCTTTCCAGTGAGCGAACCATCTTCGCTGGTTGTAAGGGGTGGTGCAACTGAATGGAATCCGACAGGGAACACATGTAATTTGTGAAATAATAAACAAATTTCAAGCTTGTTTCCATCGCTCGAATGAGGAAGTCGTTCTGGGTGGTTCATCGACATAGTTTATTGACTTTTCCTTTGTGGGGAGCGAGTGTACGGAGAAACTGATAATTATATGGATTTCATCATGTTTTCGTTTGAACGTAGTCTATCGGACAAAAGTTTACATTCGAGTTGAATTTTAAAATGCATATATTTCAGAAGCCAGCGGCACCGGTGGTTTAGTGGTGAGCGTGATTGCCTCTCCCCCCAATAGGTCTGGGTTCAATCCCAGTCGGCACCGCCGAGATTCTCTGAGGCATAAACTCTCTGCCGTTGGTCCCTGGTTCATGAGTTGATAAGTCGATAGGTCGGGTGCAGGTGTGGAAGCCTCCCTGCCGTCGGTAGCATTGGTTCTCAGTACGGAAAACAAGATTGACAGAAAACAAATCAAAGAAGAAAAAAACTATCAGAAGCCGCGTTCCAATCCAATCATTTCATTAATTCCATTGATGGAAATGGCAAGGAAATCAGAAGCTCCAGCAATGAGTATAAGCAGGAAAACTAGTAGAAATATTTGATTTCCCAAAGTAGGTTTCCGGTTGCAATTCAAATCAAATTTTCTGAAATTTGCCATTCGTTATGGAAAAGGGAAAGACAAAGATATCGTTCCGCTCACTGCTGCCGAGTTTAAGTGGATGACGGTGGAAATTTGATTGGTATGTATAGCTACGAAAAATATGTGATTTGATGAACCGATAGGAAACTACGGGAGAGAAAACTGACAATAGCTGTAAGATGTATGCTATTCAACCTAATGGAATGAATATTGGGATTCTAATGGAATTGGATTCGTATTTGACTTTTAAATTGAATGCTTTTAAACAAGATGAGATCAAAATTCAGTGCTTGAGGATTTCATCTGTCCATTGCAACGCGTTGGTGTTATTTCCTTGTGCAATTGTATGGTCGTTTGTGAGAAATCGTTAATGGAAGCGAATAATACTAGTTCATGGATAAAGAAAAATATATCAATGTTAAGGACTTATTTTTTTTTTTCGAAGTCTTTGAATCCAATTAGGACTACCTATACATTTTTGTTTAATCAAGAACGTTTTATATTTTATATTCTCAATAAAATATGGGCCATTAAATCACATGATGGCCTCTCATAATCAATACTGCGAAACCGTCGACTTTACAATGTCTCGGCATAAACTAAAACAATATTTTAACTCCATACGGAATCATAACCCATAAAAAGAAAAAAAAGGTAAGCAGCTGCTTAATTTTATTCAACCCGTTAACGCCCATGTTGGTTTTTGGCCTCCAAGGAATGCGTGATTTTTCCAGGAATAATTCAAGGATTATTCCCACACTATTTGAAAACAAGATGTTAAGGACATTTCAAGGATTATTCTAGTGAAATCGACAACATAATTTACGTTCCCAATTTCTGTTAAGACATAATAAAAGCAAAAAATAGATTTCTGGGCGGTAATGGGTTACGATAACTGTCAGTTGTCCTCTAAAAATTTTACTAGTGTCTTCACGGACGAGAGACTGAGTGACGACTATACCCGATTGGCTGTCAGTTACGTACCACTCTCTGGCCAAACCATGAGCAGAATTAATATCAATCCCGAGATGTTTTCTAGGCCTTCCTCGAAACTCAAGTCATCGTACAATCCGGGTACTGACGGAATTTCATCGGCGTTCCTCAAAACGCACTTGGACAGTTTGTTGTCTCCACTGCTGCACGTTTTTCAACGATCCGTGGACGTCGGCGTTTTCCCATCCTGTTGGAAGCTAGCGCACGTGTTTCCAGTACACAAGAAAGGCAGCAAACAGGACGTTGGCAACTACCGTAGCATCACTTCGCTTAGCTCTGTTGATAAATTGTTCGAACTCGTTGTTATGGAACCGTGTGTATGGATAATTTAGCCACATGTGTGTCAAAACCTGAAACTGTGTCAAAGCTCCGGCATAAGATTGCTTCGAATAGCTTGGCACACTTGTAGGTATAGCGTTAAGTAGATCCTACACGATTGCTTTTATTGACAATAATCGTCTATATTGAATGTATTGACACATTCAATATTGACGTCAATACATCGATATTGACAATGTTTCTGTATTCACATCATCAATATTATTTTCAATAATTCTCCTTTGCGTCAATATATTGATACGTGTGGGGTTCGCTTTAGGCGAATGATCAAACTCGAATATATAATGCGCAATTGAATTTGAGAAAATGAGACTTGAATAGACCAAACGAGCTATTATGACTCTAGAAAAACTCTCTGGCCATGAATTTTCCAATCGCAGAAAGTTTTATATTCAGCTCACACAGGACGCCGATTAAATTACGTCGTACGTTTTAACTCCGACCCAATTTGATACGGGATCGATTGCTCATAAGTGGTGGAGTGCTCGCAGTGAGTAGATGAAATTTCGAAGTGATCTAATTTTGAAACTTAAGCAGTTTAAATTTGCTCAAAGTTATCAAGTTGAAAAAGTGAATATGTAAAAATGAATTCGAAGTAATTCCGCGAGTGAAATTTTAATAATTACAAGAAGTTGATTTCTAGTTTATTTCTTTAAGAATTCTTTTTGTGAGCTGGATAGGGTATTTGGCTTTTGAGAACAATTGAATTCGTGTGCAAAAGTTTATAGCCAAATTCAGGTAAGAAAAGTGCTTAAGATTCTGACCGAACAGAAACTAGAAACTAACTAACTATACAAACTATCGCACAATGTACATGCTTGGCATCCACGGCTGCCTTTTGATATGGTTTTAGTCGTACCCCACCGATCGCTATCTTACTGTTGTCATTGGTGATCACCAGTCACGTATGTTCGCTGCCACGTCCGGGATAAGGATAGTCACCTGGGACCGCTGATTTTCCTGATTTACTTCAACGGCGTGAATCTAGTAATTGAGGGATCACGATTAACTTACGCAGATGACTTTAAACTCTCCATTCGAATTCACTCAACTGAAGACTGTTGCTTTCTCCAACGTCAGCTGAATGAAATACATGTTTTTGACAGATGGTGTAGTAAAAGTCTATTGAAACTAAATATTAAAAAAAATGTAATCTTATAACGTACAGTAGAAAACTAAACAAACAAAATCTTTGTATTACATTAGGTTGTAACGAGCATATATGTCGTTATCTGTTTTGTATGTCGTATAAATCCATCAATATTCAATAATATTTGCTAACTACTTAAATAATTAATTACCGCTAGAGATACATTTATGAACTTGCCTAATGTATATTCACCCGATTAGAGTTCCTTATATTCATTTTGTTCACCAGTTACACAGATGCGCAAAGTAAAATTAAATGAGTTCCCCACACATTTGTGATCGCTTTGATCATCTCGTATCAGCCTACAGGCGCTGGGTTGCTCGATCGTCGCGTACCTACCGCGAACGTCGACCCGTTGGAAATCCTTTCAAGATGTGTTGACCTTTCCCTAATTTTCTCTCCCATCCTGGTTTTGGGCCGAAGTTGGTTGGGGGATAGAAATCGTTCTTTGGAAAGAGATGCAAAAATTGCGCGCAATGAAACTAATGGGAGCGTGAGAGAAATTTTCGGTATCACGAATTTCAACTTCGTGATTTCCGGTAGCGAAGATTACAATATCGCGGTTAATCTGAGGATCTTCAAACTTAGTCTCGTTCACTTTGAACTGATCCGTGGAAGAGGCAGGAGTGGCCCAAAGTAGTTCTCACGCCGTGGTGTTGTCCAAAAGGTGACATGATACCTGTTTAGATTAGTGTAGCTTTATTTAACCAAAATCCTTTCCATTAGTTTTTCGTAGCATAGAAGTGAGAAGTGTGTGCTATTTTCTCAGGTTGTGTGTTATCGGGTTGTGCTTTGGTGAATAAGCAGGTAAAAGTGAACATGCAATTTGTTTGGTGTAATTCCGTGCTGACACGTGCGTGGTGCAATGGTTATTTTCCGAATGTAGATTCGTGGCAGTGCCGATATACGTCCAACACACCACACCGAACCATCCGTGGCCATTTCTGACCCCACCGTCAGCTTCAAAGTTCCCGGAGTACGCCGGAAGAGGGACGCGAACGTCAACGACGCACCCTAGGCAAGGCGATCGGCCATTCAACAGCCCAGCAGTTAGCAACACGTTTTTCCTCCCGTTGGTGACGACCAAAGGGATACCGACGCTCGTACCGCGTCGTGTAAGACCACGAGTCGATGAATCAGACTCACCGGTTCATCCGATGCACGTAGCACGCATCTAGACTTCCGGCGGTCTCCGCTGTCGAACAACGCAGAAGTAGCAGAGTTCACCGCCACCCCGTCCGTTCATTCGTCGAACGCGCGGTGTCCATCACCAGCATCATGAAAAGGTCGTGAGTACATGTACTATATGTTGTGAGTGTCCATGCGCATGTGACTCCAAAACGTAACCATTGCTATGCACGGTTACGAGCATAAACCGTACTTGCTCTAATTCGATTTTGCGCCAAATTCTTTCCGGTGCAAAGCAACGAATAAATGAACGTGAATTAGATTCATTAATAAGCACCCAAAGCCAAGCACACACACCCGCACGATAGGAATAGGGATCTATGGAAAGGTAGAATGAGAGTAGATAGGAGACGAGTCTGAAGAACAAATGAGCACTCTGTACTGTGGTAGGACAATATAAATGGATAAAAGCTCCACTGTTTTTGCGAACTTTACAAATGTATAGAATAAAGCTCTGTAATATATTTCAAACGTA